CATAAGGAGGGAGAGAGGGAGGGCTCTTCCTTACTTGCTCTTCAGCAGGTGGGATATGCTGACCCTTGAACATGCCTTTTGGTGCTCAGTGGCATTGGTAACAAGGACAGAGCTGGCCTCTGGCCCAGGCACTAAACCCCCAGAAAGCTCCCTGCCTTCCCCTATGTCTGAACTGTTCTCTACTCCCCTATTCTTGGCAGTGGCTCCAGTGGATGTTCACCTGCTGCTGCTCTGTCCTTTTACGCAAGTATCCAATTCAGGTAGTGCCTTGCACTCAGCCATAGGCTTGGGGCCCCTCCCAGGGGCGAGCTGGGAAGAACTGGTGTCTCAGTGAGGTTTGCTGAAGGCCTCACGAGGATCCACATGGCATAGCTTCCTGTTAGACCCATGGAACTGATATGTGAAATATGGGACAGTAACGTAGTCACGGTCCAAGGCAGGCTGGGCCCAACTCAAACCTGGTATAAGCAGGTACAGGGTCCTAGCCCAATGTTGGTAAAGCCCCATGTATCCCAGTGGTGCAATGGAAAAATTCCTATGGGGCTGCTGTCGCCCCTTCCCCACAGGGAGGGAGCTACAGTTCCCTGCAGGACCCAGAACAGGCTGACTGACTTAAGGAAAAAAAGGCAAATATTAAAATCAAGGGTTCTGAGGCTATTTCTTGTGCTGCCAGCATGAGGCGCCTTAGGCTAAGACACAGCACTCTTAGCTCCCTCCTTCTCTCCCAGACAGCTAGGCATGTGTGCGGCTGGCTGGGCTTTGTGTCAGGGCCAGGGCACAGAGCAGTGTGGAAGCTGTCAAGTTCCCAGACGCAGCAGAAGGCTGTCACTTTTGCAAAACACTGGCTCTACAGCAGGCAGGCTGTGGCGAGGTGAGGTGGGAGGGGGTTATTGCCCTCATAAATTTAACCCCCACTGTTGGTATCACATGCTGAGACTTAGTGCTACTTACCCACCTCTTACCCCTGGTGAGGAGACAGAGCCAAGGGGCTGGGGTGTGGGAGCAAAGGGGGCACTTGAACCTGAGTCTCTTTGGCTTCTTTTAGGTTTTCTCTAGTGCTCAGTCATTGCCTAGTGCCAAGGCTCAAGATCTTTCTCTGCCCTGAGCTGAAACCGTTGCATTTGTTACATTTGTTCTAGAGGTAAGTGGTCATTGTTCAGTAGGGGGCTGATCCTTCGCCCATAGAGCTAATAAGAGTCGCTCAGAGCCTCCTGGCTTCCCCTGACACCACGTAACAACTCCAGGGAGCTGCCGGCAGGGGCCTGGCGGGGGGTCCCAGCCCAGGAAGATGTCTGGGGGATGCAGCTTTCATCTCCTGCTGGCTGCAGCCTGGGAAAGTGGCCTTTGCAAAAGCCCCCCTCTGCCTGGTCTTACGCAGGGGCCTGGGCTTTGGGTGAATTTTTTTTCCAAGGCTCGTGAAAGTACTGAGATCAGACTAAACCCAAGGCAGAAACTGCTTTGTCTCCTGCTGCCAGAGTACAGGGCAAATCTGTGCGTGGTTTCACTGGCCCAGATTGGCAGTTTGGGGAGCTTGATACAGCACCATTTCCAAAAGGGACATAGACAGCTTTATTATTTAATGTGGGCCAGAGTTAAAAATAATAACCCAGTAGCTGCTGATTATCATTTTATTACTAAGGGTATGTCCAGACTGCATTGCTCTTTGGAAGTATCCCAAAATAGCAACGCTGCATCTTTAAAAGTGCCCGCTATTTCCCAAAAGAGTGGACGCACTATACTGGCAACCCTGTAACCCTTATTCCATGAGGGCTAAGGGATTTGTCGGAATAGTGCCTTATTTTGACAGTGCCAAATTTCAAAATAAGCTCTTTCGACTTAAACCTGGGACTCAGCTACGCAAATTGCATAGCTTATTCCGACAGAAGGGTTCTGTCTAGACACACCCTAAGTAATTCTGTCCCATGACTACATGGCTACGTCTAGACTGGCATGATTTTCCGGAAATGCTTTTAACGGAAAAGTTTTCCGTTAAAAGCATTTTCGGAACAGAGCATCTAGATTGGCACGGATGCTTTTCCGCAAAAGCACTTTTTGCAGAAAAGCATCCATGGCCAATCTAGATGTGCTTTTGCGCAAAAAAGCCCCGATCGCCATTTTCACGATCGGGGCGTTTTTGCGCAAAACAAATCTCAGCTGTCTACACTGGCCCTTTTCGCAAAAGCGCAAAAGGGACTTTTGCCCGAACGGGAGCAACATAGTATTTCCGCAAAAAGCACTGATTTCTTACAGTAGGAAGTCAGTGCTTTTGCGGAAATTCAAGTGGCCACTATAGACAGCTGGCAAGTTTTTCCGGAAAAGCGGCTGATTTTCCGGAAAAACTGGCCAGTCTAGACACAGCCCCATTTGTTCACATTTCATAAAGCAGGATAAGCACATCTATTCCAAACTTAGGGTGTCCTTTTTGTATTTGTGCAAACCCCACATTTTTGGGAGGGCTAAAGTCCTCCTAAGTCTCTAGTTTTCAGAGTCCCCATCTGTGGGCAAGGGGTAGGAAATAACCATTGAGTGGTTTGGTTTCCACTCTAGGCCTGGCAAGGGAGACACTTTTCTGCACATGCCAGTGCTCAGGGTAGGCTTTTAGGGAATTGCGAGGCACCTCACAGAGAGGGCGGAGAGATGAGAACCCAAGCCAGTGTACCTCACAATTCCACGGATGCACCCCAGTCTAGGCTGCCCCATTCTTTATATTTGTTGCCCTAATGCCCTCTGCTTGGCATCCTTACTGGC